TATTTTCACCCTTTCGCATTTGCAACCAATTTTGCCCCGTTTTAAATTCGCCCAGTCACAGTTCTATTTAGGAAAGTATTATGTAGTCTTTGATTTCGCCCTGTTTTAAATTTGCCCAACTGAGAGTAGTATGCCTGTTAATTAAAATTAAACGAATAAATAATTTTCCTATGTTAAGCTATTATTTCGAAGAGATTTTCTAAAGAAATGGTTTAATTGATTTTCGTAGCCTTTTTTGTATAAAGCCATACCGTTGTCTATAATTGCATAAGAATGTGTAGCGTTGATCTAAATTGACATTTTTAGCAGTAGCAACAAAGGACAAGATAGGCTTAGACCCCTTTTTGGTCCCTGGTTTGGGGTGTCTTTTAGAATGATGCAACAGTTTATCAATAGAAACCTGTTGTCACCCATGCCACAAAATGAGTATTGGTTCTAAGTTATGGGATACACTGAGGTCACAGGAAGGTCAGAAAATATGTCAATTTCCGAACTTCTTCATTTTTATGCAAATTTTACAGCACATTTTGTTTCAGAAAACATACAGCACATCTACCAAATTTATATATTTCATACATTAGTATCAGATACATCTTATGTATAAAAATCTCCGATAGGCAAGCTTGTGCTATATGTTTCCTGAAGTGAAAAGTATCTCAAATTTGACGAACTTCCACCAGAGTTGAGAAAATTCGGGAAAATGTCCTGCTTCTGCACCATCTTGTGGTCTCCGTGTAAGCTTTGAATCAAAATTAGTGCTAGCTTTAAAACAAGCATCCTTTTAAGTTCTTTACTATAAACTATCACAATTTTAACTGTGTTCTGATTTTTACATCAAATAAAGGACCAGATTCGGCCGTTACCATACCTTGACCTTTGTTGTTAATAGAAGATAATATATCAGTGTCATTTTCCAAAATTTTATTTGAAACATAGTTAAATCCATAAGAGAATTTATCTGAAAATTCAAATTGTACCGACTACTAAGAAAGTCAATGTCAAATCTCTCCAAAATATCCTTTAACAAGAGGACCAAGGGTTTTAACAGTCACCTGCATATAATACAACACTATAAAGGATCCGTAGAAGTATAGCTAAATAAAACTGATAGATGAATCTATGTTACCCTATAGGAAGAGAAAAAGGATGATCAGGGATCAACAAAATAATTAGTCTAGTACTCAGTTACTAAGAAAAAGTAGTGCTTTAGCACAATTATTTAGCCAATCTTATTCCCTCTCAAATTGGCTTCTCTTTGTCTTTGAAGAATATTTAATACATATAAAGAACAGGTATTTTTGTTTCATTTTTATTCTTCTGTAATTTAAAAATATGGTTGACCACTAAAGACATTGAAAGTACTATTTGTATTATATAGTATTATTATAAAAATTCTTGCATAATTTTATAATCAATTGACAATCATTGACATTATTACCACTGATTATTATTATTATCACAGGTGAATAACAAATGGGAATAAATTCTGTCAGAAGAATACAATTAAAAAGAGCCCTGCCCAGCATGTACCGGAGCACTTGACCAAGTGGTCTAGAATTTCACAAATGTGGTAAAAATACTCCTTGATTATTACATTTTTGTACTCTGTTTGCCCATGAGCAGAACAACAGATTTTCAAAGAAATAATCCTTTTTACTCTAGATTCAACACAGCACACCCTAATTCAAAATTCCCTGATCTTGTGGGCCATGAAATTCACAATTTCGGAAAAACATACTTGCTCATCATTTATACTTTATACTTAGTTTATCTGCAAGATACCTAGGACCACAGAAGAAGATTTTCAACGAATTAGTACATTCTCACTATATGATTTATAGAGTCCCACCCTAACACCAAAGCCCCTGACCCAGGGGCAGAGAAACTCATACATGTAATGTAGGAAGAAGAACCCTTGCACATCATAACCATGCATTTGCTGTGTTTGCTAAATACCCAAGGGCAGAGAAATTTAAATGTCGCGAAATGCTAATTATTAATTTATTAGCTTTTACGTTATTTAGCCATTCATGAATAAATCATCTTTAAGGTTCACGATTTATTTTGTTTATTTTTTGTTTTGGTTAAGATTGGAAAGGTTTTTTCTCAGTATTTCCTCAAGGTAGCACAATAGTAAACACAAGCAAACAATAATGAGCTAAGATTTGATCCTCAGTGGAAGGAAGGTTTTTCAATATTCTATAAAATTAATTTATTTGTTTTCCTTTAACAGCGGGTCTCGAAGAAACATAATGATATCTGACAGTGCCCTGAATTAAAAAAAAGATCGAAATTTACATAATTTTTCCAGAATCGTAGGATTATTTGCAAAGCAATCAGCATCAAAGGGAAAAAAGAATGTTCTACGAAATTCTTGTACAGGTCTCCCCTATGCAACGAATTTAAAACCAGTCGCTTCATTAAGTGTGGCTAACACTTGCCTTTATTCAAAGAACTCGGACAAATCTTTTCTTCCACTTTTGGAACAAGAATGTTTTGACCTTTGAATTTGTTTATCATACGATTAGGGCCAACTAACAACTAAATTTTATGACAATCGAGATGACTCCAGCTTTTCCATTTTCCTTATTTATGTAGCAATATTCCGCTATTAAATGCATAGATTCTACGTCTCAAAACTTATTCGATACTCAAGAGCATACTCTGAGTACGAAACATTTTTAATCCGAGGCAGTCCACTGACAGATGAGTCAATGTTCCAGGGATTTCAACAACCTCATTTAAAATTCAGCATTTTGTTAATGCTATGGTTATTATGTTGTTATGACCTTCTTAGCCAATATATCATACCAATGTGTTGTATTCTGTCTGACTTTTCTTCATATCAATTGTTACGCCTTTGTTTTTATACTAATTTTAACTACGGAAGATTCCGTCTACCTGATCAATACATAGGGCTCAGAGAGGATGTCGACAGAGGATGGTTACTCCTCCTAGGCACCTGATTCCAACCCTGGAATTTCCGAGGGTCCTTGTTTTATGCCTTGTTCACAGATTTGTATTGCTTGAAGATTTTTTGAGATCAAACACTGTTTGTTTTCTTCACTTTTTTTCATTTAACTCGGGTCACAACAATTCTGTGCAATATAAAGCGCAATAAACCGGGGTACTTTTTCCCAAGGCAGCAGTTCTTTTCAGCATATTACATTACCATAAATTATGCGAATTGGACTAAAACAACCTTCTAGCAAGGCAAGGGAAATGAGTCTCATTAATTCAAAACGGTATGATCGACGATAACGTTTCATCGTGCAACAGGTGGTTTATATACACATCGCGAATTTATTCAATGCAAACACTATTTATTAGAAAGTTACAGAATCCTCTTAACAATGGAAAGCCTGTAAAACGAAATGAAACGGTGTTGCTTTCTTTTAAGAGTGATGTTAACATTGTCTAATTGCAGTTGTATAAACTGAGGCTTTAAATATGGAATTCCAGCATTGATAAATAACAAAATTTAATAATTAACAATATATTAAAATGACTGTTTCAGAATTACAGAGAAAACTGTCTTATTTGAATAAAATACTTGTTAAATGTAAAAAGAACATTCTTTTTATGAATAAATAAGAAATGGTCCTTCTGTTTAAAAAGAACCGATTTGTTAAATATGGAGATCTTTATCAGTTTAAATGCCGCATTGTGAAGCTTATCAACAAAAGCAAAAAAAAAAAAAAAAAAAAAAAAAAAAAAAAAAAAAAAAAAATCAATCTTTTTGAGTGGATGCAAGTGTATAATTTATAAGATGACCAACCCCATCCTTATTCGCCATAAGAAATCAGCGACCAACGATCTAAAAGGCCCAATCTAAAATAATTGCAAAATTTCAAATGATTTCTTATGACAGAAACCAACTTTAAATGCTACAGTTTTTTTCTTAATGAAACACAGTGTTGTAGAACCAGTATTAGCCACAAGCACTTGACCTTACATATTTTTCTTATTAAAAATGTTTAACCCCATACCAAATAATTCACAAGGTACACATCGCCGCCATCTTGATTTTTTCTAGATCAGTCTCATCAACTTGTTTTTTTTTTTTTTTTTTTTTTTTTTTTTTTTTTTTTTTTATTTTTTTGTCTGAAACTCCATGAAATTAATTCCCCAAAATTAATTTCAACATCTTTCCTTACTGTTTCCAGTAAAATCACGACTCAGAGATAAATAAAGTTTAGCTTGATATAGCATTGTGAAAGTTTTTGTCATAACTGTGGACTAAACGTCTGTGATGCGTGCTAATAAGTGCAAAAAAGATCGATATATCGTGGGTTTTTTTTTTTTTTTTTTTTTTTTTGGTTGATAAAGATAAAAAGAAAAGAAAAAAAAAGACGAGATCTGCATTCAAGGAACTTCGAAGATCCATGAAGGAGAAAAAATAGTAGCATTCATTGTTTTCATCAATCTAAATCTAAAACCATAATGGACCTTGAGACTTTGATTACTGTTCATTATGTTCATATTTCAGTTTTATATTACAAAGGAATTTGTCAAAATTTATTTCAGCCTTCAAATATAACACCAGTTAGATTAAATTTCATACCTATAAATAAAATATCAGTATTTTTTAAAGTTAGAAATGATTTAGTTTTGTTGTTTATGTTAATCATGAAGGGGTTCATCTTTTTCAAATGTAATCAAACTATTTTGCTTTATATTTTAAAAGAATCTTGAAACTTTTACAGTCTAATACAGATATGGTTATCATGTATATTAATATCTATTTAAGTTCAAATGTTACATCCAAATGAAAATGATTATAAATTACATATCACGAAAATATGAGTTCTGTTAGAAAATACAATCAATTTTGTATAATTTGCTTAAAGGAACAGAAATAAAATCATAATCTATTGATATTAATCATTAGGAAAATCTGTCGAGGTAGGTCATCTGTGAAAATCATGTGATTGTAGCTAACTGACAAGTATATAAAGTATGCGTATTAATACAAATTGGAACAGCTGACGAAAGAGATTATGGAGCGAAAGTTTTTACTTGGATTGTTATTGAGCTTTGTGATTGTAAGTAAATTTTGGACTACATTTTGAAAAGAATTTCTTCAGGGTTTCTATTTTTAAAGGAAGAATAATTTAGGCTTTAAATAAACAATATCATTTTTTTACTATCCTTTGATAAACTTATACCCACACTTAAAAAAAATCACTACATTCTATTCCGCCTTCATTGTTTATTCATTAGAGATGTTTTTTATATGTCAACAAACACCTTTTCACTTTGTATAGTTTTCTTTCAAGTGACATAAAGTGTGTTTCACTATAACTTTCCGATAAATCATTCATTTCACATCTGAACATTTTCATTTTTTTTAAATTCTTTGAATTCCCTACATTTCAAGAACTTATTATCCTTTAGCTGTGAAAAATCTTTTGGTGCTCAGCAACATATTTTTTTAACTATGTAGGATCTGAATGAGATTTAATGTTTAGAAAAATTAAATTCCCATCCTCATAATATATGAGGAGTAATAATGTAGACAGGAATGTAAGTCTGGATGAGGTAATCAACCTTCGATGAATTGTCAATATACGCATGTGTTTAAATGAGATGAATGAAATAGATTGATTTTTTTTTTTGAGTAAAGTATTTAAATTTTGAAAATTTATGAGGAAATGAACTAAGGACATTGCCCATGTAAAACATATCAGATCATGCCTTCAAGTAACCACTGTTGGAAATGTGTAGTTTCCCTCTCAAAAAATATTTTGTTTTACCTTTGAAAATTGGTTCCTATATAAATCAAATATAAATCTATACTTCAAAAAGTCTAGAATTTCAAATGTTATACTGAGCGGTCATAAAAATAAATCGAATGTTGACCGCAGAGTGAGATATCGGACAGCATTTCACACTGTGGGGAGGGGGGAGGGGTTGTGAATCAGCTAAATCTTATTTCCATTCGTTGGTGTTCGACAGTGACAGAATTGACCAAGTTTAACCACAGTGCGAGTAAAAAAAATTACCTCATGCAAGCCAGCAAAAGATACATGTATGTCAAAAAAAGTAATAAAAGGTATAACGAAACAATTATTGACTGTGTTTTCGGATAAAATGCATTTTGTCGACCCTTCGAACAAAACTGTTTGGTTCTTCAGTCCGACAAAACGCGTGTTGCCCTCAAATTCAGTCAATAAATGTATAATAGCGAACTATAGAATACGCTTTGATAATTGGAAACTTTAAATTTAAATTTTTTTTTTAGACATAAGGTCCTGATATTTCGTTATTTAACATCAATGAAGTAAAATATAGAAATAATATGTGAATATACCAGTAACATTTCCTTTTAATATCATAAAATTGCATGTAAAACTTGGAGAATGGAATATAAAAAGTGAAATTCATAGTAAAATTTCTTTATTTACTCTATAATTCTTCGTTTCAATACTGTAAAAACTTTAATATAATAATCTATTGTTAACTATACATTGATTATATAATTATCTTTTTAAGAAAGAAATCCTTAGGATTTATTGTTCTGATTTTCCATATACATGAAATGAGACGTAAACATCAATAAAACATGAAATGCATAAACATGTCATCATGTTACACCTCTTTGAAAGGGCATTTCCCCAATAATTAAGACTTCCAAGTATTGCTGCTCGTAAAAAAAAACCGAGTTAACATCAGTTCGATTTAACTCATAGAAATTTTACAACTTTTACCTTGTAAACGATTGCTAAAAAAAAAAAGCATATTTGTAAATGTTCATTTATGTGAAATGAGTTTATTCACTGCTATGTATATTGAAAATCCACACCCTTTCCAGAAACTTGTAACAATAAGGTAGTTATGTTGAAATCCTTAGGCAAACAAGTACTCTCTCTGTATCACAAATGTTTCAACGATGAATATGACCACCTCAACGAATGAAAAATATGTATATTTTAGAACAGACTAGGTTGTTAAAGTTAACATGAATTGTAAGAGAGCTTGTAAGTCGGTTTTCTCGTATATATATTTTTTACAGATAAATGTTATTCTGATGTATATTCTATGTGAATTTCTTAATTCATTTACAAAAGATAAGGACATCAACTCAGATTTCTATATTTAAGACTAACTTCCAAATACTCTAGTACTTATTAGGAATACCTATTAAAACATATAGAGACATTATACTAATTGCTCAGGAACCTATATTGCATAAAAAACAACGCAATAAAAACATGCAAATGTGAGTTTAAAAAGATTGAAATCAGTGGGCTTGATCTACCTCAGTTAATAAAACAATAATGAATGTCTGACAAAATACTTGAACTTTTTGGGAAGGACTAGACATTTATTTACAAGTTTAAAATGTTCATTTTCATATAATACTAAAAAGTCTAACTTCATTTGAACAAAATGACAAGTTCTGTATTGATTTAAGCATAAACTGGAATTCTTTGGATGATTCAATTTACTTTTCTTGCGAACTTTCTGTAAACATTCAATTTGTAACATCTTTCTTGCAACTTGCGGCGAACAAGAGATTGGCATGTATGTTTTTTTGAAAATTCCTTCAAACATATAGATTTTCTGTCAATTCTCTGCAAGCTTGCAGAATTTACTTCATGTTTGCTGCAAGATCGCAGCTACCATCAATTATCTGCGAACTATATGATTTCTTTCTGCACACAATCTTATTTGCTGCAGACGCTTAGCAGACTTGCTGCAAATCTGCAGCAAATATAGCAGTTTGAAAATTATATATGATTACTATTAAAAAGATAAGAGGTCATCAGTGAAAAAGTTTATGTTTAGTACCTATGTAATTAAAATTAAATCAACACTTCATTTTAGGTTGTAGTCAATGGACAAGGATACCGTCCTCGTCCTCCAGGTAAGCAATAGTGCGCATGCGTGTAATAACAAAATAAATGAATACTAATCAATTTTAATGATGCTATTTAGAAAAAAAATATATAACTAATGACGATTGTGTTGAATCTCTAGAAACAGGTCCAACACTTTAAAATCTTATTAAACCCATTATTGATCAATTAGTAATAGTGTCTTACTTATTCAATATAAATTATAAAAAGCGTCTATTTAATCTTTTGCCTATTTAGCGAATCCAATATGTGCATTTCCTCGTGATCCCGGTCCCTGCAGAGGCTCCTGTCCCAGATATTACTACAACACAAGAACAGGAACTTGCCAGCGGTTTACCTATGGATGCTGTGGGGGAAATGCGAACAATTTTCAATCAAGAGGACTCTGTAATAGGGTTTGCAGGAATAGAGGTAAGCATTGATTCCTTATAGTGTATATGTGTTACACATTTCATTTGAATTGGTTAAAGGATATCACTATCATCTTTTATGACGTTTTAATATTAAAAGTTGAATGTTGATAATGTCCAAAAAATGAAACTTTTTTGGTAACAAATACAAAAGTAAGCATATATTTTCTGTACAAGTTGCGGCACATGTTTAAGGTATATATAATAATTATAGATCCTATAGCACATGTATCATGCTCAACGTCTGAAGTACTAGTTCATTTTCTGTTGCATAAAAAGATGTCTCATTTGTATTATAGACATAACAAATTCCCACAAATTCCCGCAATGAAGATATTCTTAGATTTATAGTCCAGTAAAATCCTGTCAAATCTGACACACAAACTCTTAGAGTCAAGATTTTGCACAAAGAACATGGAAAATTAAAGTGGGGATGAAAATAAGGATCAAATATTGAAAGAGATTGCATATTATTGCACTTATTTTCAGTCTGTCCAGTGATAGCCTGCCTAATTGGAGCATGTACTATTCAAAAGTGCCCGGCGTATCCTCAGGCCACCTGCGTGTGAGTACAATAAAGACTATAGAAAAGGTTACTTCACCTAAAATTGATCTCTACCACATGCTAAAAATAAGCAAATATATACGAGGTGCTCTTTGAAAGAAAGGCTTACATGTCTTATTTTTGCTGGGGAATATCCCTAACAAAAATTCACTAATGTTAACTATAGTTTAATATAGTTAACTATGGTGAACACTTTGATACTTTGATTTACTATGAAACTTTACTCTGGAACTTTTTTTGAGATTTCAAAGCTTAAAATCTCTTAAATTCGATAACAGTTATGTAAAATGTGGAAATAATATGTCTATATACCAATAATACTTCCATTTAATATAAAAAAAAATGTGCATATATGAATTGAAGAACAAAATATTTAACAATTTGAAATCCATAGTAAAAATAGTTTGATTTTCCATAGTAAAAAAAAACTTTGATACTATAGTAAACTATAGTTAATCATAGTAATTTTTGTTGGGTAATCACAAGGAATAGTCATATTAATCGTTTTCCTGTTTTCTTAAATGAATAAAAAATGCTTAAGATTTCAAAAGATAACTTACCCTAAACTATTGTGATCATGAAATTATATTGAAACTTTTCTTTCATTTTTTAAAAAAAACTATATATAAACTAAACCGTATTCCACATTACTACATGAAGACCAATTTTAAAAATTCTAGATGTCACAACACTACTAAATATTAAATAACATCTTTAAGTTTGAGTTCATAGTTTGTTTTGATGAATAACATTTTTGGTGCTTTTGATCTAAAAGTTTGAAATACAAATACATGTATATACAGAATTGATTGAAGTGGGAATTATTATCGATTATTGCAAAGTAGTAGTAATAATTATAATAATAACTTAATATGACAACTTGGTTTTTTTTATACGGATATTACATTTACCAATTTATTATTTTCATCAATTGGCGTTCTTCATCATAATGATTTTTTTTACATCTTGACATTGCGTAGATCTTATTGTATTCAAGGAGTATTGAGAGTCTTGCAGAAAAAAAAATAATTAAAAAAATAAATACAAAAATATTATATCATGTTATATTACATTTGGGCTTCTTTTACAAATACTGATGAGAATGTTATTTGCAATTGTATTTTGAAAACACCTGCAATTATAATAGATAATCAAGAAGTTTCAGAATCACAGGCATTACTGATTTCAAATGACAATAATAACAACAGCATTTTAAAGTCATCATTGTGTAAAATTTAAGGAATAAGTCACTCTTCTTCGCAATGTAGACTTTTTTTTCAAATATGATAAGTTTCGTACTTGAAGATTTAGATAAGAATGAAATATAAGCAGATGGTCAAAACACGCGTATTTTGGCAACCTCTGCTGTTTGGGTTCTGTATGTATACAATATTTTTATGCAATACATTACATTATACTTTTTCTTGTCAGAGCTGTGTGTCCCTGCACGTCTGTTTGGATATATAACGGAGAAGACGTCACAGACCGCTGTAACAACAGGGGCTAATCAGCGCACAGGAAAACATGGCGCGAAATTTGAAAAAATAAAAAAATAAAAGTCTCATCATTCAATGATTTTATAATCGTATGATAATACACAGTTTAAAGCAAATAAGGAGAATGCAACCATGCAAATTAGTGGGGTTCTTTTTTTCAAAGAAAATGATTTTTTTGGTGCGTCTTTTTATTATAAATTTATCCCCTATAAGAATTATACCCTTTTGAGCTTTTTGCAATACATAAAAAGCATGAGTATCGATCTCCTCGAATTGCAGAAACTTATTTTTTTGTTAAATCTGTTTCGACAGAATTGTTTCATGTTTCATTATTTGTTATATCGCATTAATCAATTATACTCTAGATGTTGCACAATGAATCAAGTATGTTAATTGATCAACAGAAAAACAACAGAAAAACAATCTTCATTAAAAATATAAAGGTAACAGAATGGTAAATTTGCAAACTTGAAAACATTTTTTTTTCTAAATCTTTGATTTTTCAAAGTCGGACTCTGCTTACAATTGTCACATGCCTGTTGGTTTGAATATGTAAATTTGCATAAATTATTTCGTTTTAGAATTTATCATGTCGGGGAAACTATATACCCTGACATCGAAATTAATTTGTAAATAAGGTACCAAGGTAGCTTTACACTAACCAGTCGGCTAATGATTTGAATTGCGTTATGGGTTACTACAAGAATACTTTTTTCTGAGGAGCACATTATATTTTTTTATGTATTTCAAAGATTGAGTAAAATATGTATGTAATTATCTACTATTTTCATGCTCACATTTACAAACAATTGATTAATAAACGTAGAATTCTACTTTTATCCATTTTATTGTCTAAGGCCATTTGTGGACGATTGTATATATTTCCACTTTCTAGTATCAGTGAAAAAAAAAATCACGTGGATTCCCTGGATCAAGATAATAGTCACTAAATTGTCCAAACCTATTATCATGTTTTAAATGCTAGTATTGTGATGGTTTGGTGAAGGGATTTTAATCTATTATTTAACTTACAAACAAAACTTCGATTTTTAATGTGAGCTTGGAACATCTTTATTTGTACCTTATCTTTGTATTTTTTTTATAAAAGCAATGAAAATTAGTTTTAATTGTCTTTCCCTTAGTCGAATAAAGATTACAACCTAAAGAACTGCGAACGATAGTATTGTTCTCCCGTGTACCTCTAAGTAATTTTTCAAATGTTAACAGATTTGAATAAATTTTCATACTTATATAGATATTTATATGGATTTTCACAAAACATAATTTATTTGGAAAAAAAGAGAGATAACTCTATAATTTTGGTAAAACTTGTGTTTTTCACTATAGAAATCAATGGAAAACGGAAAATATTTTTAAAACACATCCACCTCAAAAAAAATTCCTTATTATATGTATTAAGAATCGTTTATTTATCTAATTCATACCAAAGATTTTGTTGTTTCAAGGGGGGGGGGCATAATGTGAGACAAAAACAGCAAAAATGATCATTTTATCACAAATTTTAACTGGGTTAACAACTAAAAAAATGTACTTTATCAATAATTTATGTTTAATTTTACAGGAGTTATTTGTACAAACATACTTAAGGGACATTTATTAATATCAAAGAATATTTTAAAAACTGTTGATAATGTGAAGCCTGATTCAATGGAAAACATCGTCTACCCTCTTATAAAAAGATATTTAATTAAGGGTAATTAATAAATTGACACTGTTATTAAAATCATTAATCAATTACCATTGAACTCTTCTTTGTATTCAAAGTAGTTTTAATGACCAAATTAACATTATATTGAATTAAATGTGTGTAAAATGTACCTGGGTAGGCGGGAATCGAGAGTTAGAGTACATAGTTCGTGACCCGAACCACGTGTCTGTTACAGTAGTAAAATGAAAACATCTAGTATACCATCATGCTCTGCAATTCCTTTATCGGATTGGACAATCTCCGCTGTGTGCCATAATAACAACTACCATATAAGGTAGATTACTCGACCTGTTTATGAATCAATAGATTAATGTATGGTGTGAAAAGATTAATTGTATTACTGCATAAACTCAGGCAGCGATACCCTCTGAATGCATCGAGAGTTACATACAATGCTACCTCCCTTATACAATGTGTACGATAAAGTGACAAATCTAAGCTGATATATGATAGGAGATATTAAAAAAAAACCCAGAAATTTATTTAGAATTACTGAAAAAGTACAGAAGCATGGGATTTACCAAACCTATTGCTTTGATGGTACATTGTACAAAGTAAATTAATACATTTCAATTAGATCACGTGACTCTTTGTTATGTAATAGTTGTACGTGCATGTACTGGATATATAGTGTATATAGTATTTGATCCGTGTTAAAATGTCACCATATGAGTTTTCGCAAATCTGACAGGTTTTGCTCAAGGACATTTTTCCAATGTTTCTTAATTTGTATTATTCCTCCCTAGTCCGACCAGCAGCAGTCCCTCGACAGTCCCCCTCGACTAACCATGTCTCAGTGCAGCTAACAGATCAATTTAAAGAACACTAAGACTGAATCAGTAGAGACAGAACCAGTAAGAACTGCAAATTAACTAGAATTTTAGCTGAAAAAACAATTGCATGCATTCCATTAGTACCTTTACATCAAATGCCCCGATTAAAAGATGCAGAAACGCAACATATTTTCAGTCTAAATGACTTGACTAGGCATAAGTAATCAAGTTTGCAAAAAAAAGCATTTTAATATCACAAATGAAAAATATACATAATGTACACTCAATAAAATGCAAAATATACAGAATATGCACTCTTTAAAAGAGTCTGCAGGAAAAAAATGTAAGCATTGCATTTTTATGATGTATTTGGTTTGTATTTCGATTAACACGGTAAAAATAGTCGATGTTATCTAAATAACATTTCAATAAAATATAATTTTTAAGGTTTCGTAAAAAAATCAAACCATCAAAAAAGTTTTTAAGAATATTGAATATGTATACGTATATGGCATTTGTTTTATGCGAATTTGATCGGGCGACGATTGACCGACTTATAAATATTTAAACTTTTAAAATCATCGTTGTTCTGGGAATTAACGTGACTGCTCCGCGTCGCCCGATATTAATGTCGGCCGATCATGTTTTTCAGCAGAAGATACGAAAAAATGTGTTCGCCCGACCACCTTCTTAAATGTGACCTAGGTATTACTCGGCACTATAATTGACCCGGAACTTATAATGCATCAAGGAAATATGTATTAGCTAATTAAGCGTGTTTAACTAGAAAGAAGAAAATGATATTCAATTTGAAATCAAACAATAATTAATGGCGAGCGGCGCAAATCGCCGCTCGTTTCCTCTAGCTCTTAAAACAACGCCTGGGCGAAGAGAAAATTCGGACTTTGCACATTGATCCCAATGATTTTCTTTCCGCAGACAGTTATTCTGGACCCACAATGCATCGCTTGTTAAAGCTAGGTTCTCTCGAGAATAACAACAAAAGTTCAACAAAAAATAAACTCGCCTTGATTTAGTGGATACATTGCAGATAAAACAGTATACACTTATTTCATGACTACGAGGTCTTCCCCATTATCGAGGGACAACAGTTTGACTGTTTCCCGAGTTGTCATGAAATAAGTGTTTTATTACCTAACCTACTATATAATTTCTTAAAGTAATGATATCGACATAATAATCAATGGCTTTTAAAATACATTGACAAAAGTTTGTATTATTTTTTAAAACCAAACTAAACAAGATGAATATTAATTAAATATTCACACCGATTGGTGTAAAATCAGAAAAATTAATGGGTGTGATATTATCATACACTAATAAATTGAAAAAAAAAAGCATGTAGTAAACAACATAATGATGTCTTAAAGATTTGAATATTGCACGTTTATGGCAAAGATCTATACTGAATGAAAGGGGCCTACATTTTTCCCAAACTACCCTCAGAAAAGGTGTTCATGGCCTCTTCTTTGAAATGATATTAAATTGAATACATGTATATATTTAAATTGGTATCAGGTTTACTTTTCAGATGATAATTTCAAATTGAATAAAAATGCTTCAATTTATATATAATTCAATATTATAGCTGTAAAGTACGCGAAATTAACTATGACGTCATAATGGAACAGTTCAGCCATGTAACAGTTTATTCTGTGACCGGGTAAACAGATTTGACTGTTTCATGATTTGCAAAAACATTAAAAAGAATCAGGAAACAGTTCAAAATGCCTAATTACAATTTATATAGTAGGTTAGGTAATAATATATACTATAAAACGTTCTTCATTAAAATAAGCACTGTTCAGGCTTCGGTTCGGTAATATAACCTAAATACGACGTCATTTGACGTCATAGTCAAACTTACCAAATGTCACGTGTGGTTTGAAGACAAGGATCTAAATACAGTTTATAAACAGTACACTGAAGACATGGAAAATGTATCTGCGCTCGCCCTAACGGTAGCACAGTCAACATTTTATATGTGACAAAATACATGTCTTTTCATGAAGGAACTTTTTTTTCAAACATTTATAATGTGCATCACTGTGAAGGCATACTAAGAGGAAATTAATGGAATATTAACTTGCACAAATAGATACTTTTCTCTAAATGATTTTGTTTTTGTATACCCATTATTTTATCACATGACTTTAATATTAATTGTAATTACATAGTATACCCAACTATAGTGAATTTAGCTTGGTCACCTTAATTGACAGTCACGTGATAAATGCATATAATGTGTACACTGTATGGAGGTCATAAACAAATCTCAATATCGCAAGGGCATGCCCTCATTCAAAGTAAATTTTTAATTCATAAATATTTTCTATACATCTTGGGCTTTATGTAAAGTGCTGCTGCTTTAACCAGAATTCACATTTTATTAATTTAAATTTCAAGAAATGGGACCCCACCTGAAAAATGTGTGACCTTTACTTTTTGATCTATATTTTTATTAATTACGATTTCACGAAAGCAGCAGCACTTTTCAAGCTAAGGAACATTTCTTCTGTCTACACAGTTGCGCGTTATACTCGGTGAAAGATG